ACTTGAAACGCTTAAAACAGCCAGAAACATCATGAATTGCATACTGGCAGCCAACAACTGTGATTCTATTATTTGAACTGATTCTGTTGTAAAAGTGAATTTCATGCAGCAAACCACTTTGAAACGCTTAAAACAGGCCAGAAACATCATGAATTGCATACTGGCAGCCAACAACTGTGATTCTATGTATTTGAACTGATTCTGTTGTAAAAGTGAATTCATGTGCAGCAAACCACTTGAAACGCTTAAAACAGGCCAGAAAACATCATGAATTGCATACTGCAGCCAACAACTGTGATTCTATGTATTTGAACTGATTCTGTTGTAAAAGTGAATTCATGCAGCAAACCACTTGAAAACGCTTAAAACAGGCCAGAAACATCATGAATTGCATACTGGCAGCCACAACTGTGATTCTATGTATTTGAACTGATTCTGTTGTAAAAGTGAAATTTCATGCAGCAAACCACTTGAAACGCTTAAAACAGGCCAGAAAACATCATGAATTGCATACTGGCAGCCAACAACCTGTGATCTATGTATTTTGAACTGATTCTGTTGTAAAAGTGAATTTCATGCAGCAAACCACTTGAAACGCTTAAAACAGGCCAGAAACATCATGAATTGCATACTGGCAGCCAACAACTGTGATTCTATGTATTTGAACTGATTCTGTTGTAAAAGTGAATTTCATGCAGCAAACCACTTGAAACGCTTAAAACAGGCCAGAAACATCATGAATTGCATACTGGCAGCCAACAACTGTGATTCTATGTATTTGAACTGATTCTGTTGTAAAAGTGAATTTCATGCAGCAAACCACTTGAAACGCTTAAAACAGGCCAGAAACATCATGAATTGCATACTGGCATCCAACAACTGTGATTCTATGTATTTGAACTGATTCTGTTGTAAAAGTGAATTTCATGCAGCAAACCACTTGAAACGCTTAAAACAGGCCAAAAACATCATGAATTGCATACTGGCAGCCAACAACTGTGATTCTATGTATTTGAACTGATTCTGTTGTAAAAGTGAATTTCATGCAGCAAACCACTTGAAACGCTTAAAACAGGCCAGAAACATCATGAATTGCATACTGGCATCCAACAACTGTGATTCTATGTATTTGAACTGATTCTGTTGTAAAAGTGAATTTCATGCAGCAAACCACTTGAAACGCTTAAAACAGGCCAGAAACATCATGAATTGCATACTGGCATCCAACAACTGTGATTCTATGTATTTGAACTGATTCTGTTGTAAAAGTGAATTTCATGCAGCAAACCACTTGAAACGCTTAAAACAGGCCAGAAACATCATGAATTGCATACTGGCAGCCAACAACTGTGATTCTATGTATTTGAACTGATTCTGTTGTAAAAGTGAATTTCATGCAGCAAACCACTTGAAACGCTTAAAACAGGCCAGAAACATCATGAATTGCATACTGGCAGCCAACAACTGTGATTCTATGTATTTGAACTGATTCTGTTGTAAAAGTGAATTTCATGCAGCAAAACCACTTGAAACGCTTAAAACAGGCCAGAAACATCATGAATTGCATACTGCATCCAAACAACTGTGATTCTATGTATTTGAACTGATTCTGTTGTAAAAGTGAATTTCATGCAGCAAACCACTTGAAACGCTTAAAACAGGCCAGAAACATCATGAATTGCATACTGGCAGCCAACAACTGTGATTCTATGTATTTGAACTGATTCTGTTTGTAAAAGTGAATTTCATGCAGCAAACCACTTGAAACGCTTAAAACAGGCCAGAAACATCATGAATTGCATACTGGCAGCCAACAACTGTGATTCTATGTATTTGAACTGATTCTGTTGTAAAAGTGAATTTCATGCAGCAAACCACTTGAAACGCTTAAAACAGGCCAGAAACATCATGAATTGCATAACTGGCAGCCAACAACTGTGATTCTATGTATTTGAACTGATTCTGTTGTAAAAGTGAAATTCATGCAGCAAACCACTTGAAACGCTTAAAACAGGCCAGAAACATCATGAATTGCATACTGGCAGCCAACAACTGTGATTCTATGTATTTGAACTGATTCTGTTGTAAAAGTGAATTCATGCAGCAAACCACTTGAAACGCTTAAAACAGGCCAGAAACATCATGAATTGCATACTGGCAGCCAACAACTGTGATTCTATGTATTTTGAACTGATTCTGTTGTAAAGTGAATTTCATGCAGCAAACCACTTGAAACGCTTAAAACAGGCCAGAAACATCATGAATTGCATACTGGCATCCAACAACTGTGATTCTATGTATTTGAACTGATTCTGTTGTAAAAGTGAAATTCATGCAGCAAACCACTTGAAACGCTTAAAACAGGCCAGAAACATCATGAATTGCATACTGGCAATCCAACAACTGTGATTCTCATGTATTTGAACTGATTCTGTTGTAAAAGTGAATTTCATGCAGCAAACCACTTGAAACGCTTAAAACAGGCCAGAAACATCATGAATTGCATACTGGCATCCAACAACTGTGATTCTATGTATTTGAACTGATTCTGTTGTAAAAGTGAATTTCATGCAGCAAACCACTTGAAACGCTTAAAACAGGCCAGAAACATCATGAATTGCATACTGGCATCCAACAACTGTGATTCTATGTATTTGAACTGATTCTGTTGTAAAAGTGAATTCATGCAGCAAACCACTTGAAACGCTTAAAACAGGCCAGAAACATCATGAATTGCATACTGGCATCCAACAACTGTGATTCTATGTATTTGAACTGATTCTGTTGTAAAAGTGAATTTCATGCAGCAAACCACTTGAAACGCTTAAAACAGGCCAGAAACATCATGAATTGCATACTGGCATCCAACAACTGTGGATTCTATGTATTGAACTGATTCTGTTGTAAAAGTGAATTTCATGCAGCAAACCACTTGAAACGCTTAAAACAGGCCAGAAACATCATGAATTGCATACTGGCATCCAACAACTGTGATTCTATGTATTTGAACTGATTCTGTTGTAAAAGTGAAATTCATGCAGCAAACCACTTGAAACGCTTAAAACAGGCCAGAAACATCATGAATTGCATACTGGCATCCAACAACTGTGATTCTATGTATTTGAACTGATTCTGTTGTAAAAGTGAATTTCATGCAGCAAACCACTTGAAACGCTTAAAACAGGCCAGAAACATCATGAATTGCATACTGGCATCCAACAACTGTGATTCTATGTATTTGAACTGATTCTGTTGTAAAAGTGAAATTTCATGCAGCAAACCACTTGAAACGCTTAAAACAGGCCAGAAACATCATGAATTGCATACTGGCATCCAACAACTGTGATTCTATGTATTTGAACTGATTCTGTTGTAAAAGTGAATTTCATGCAGCAAACCACTTGAAACGCTTAAAACAGGCCAGAAACATCATGAATTGCATACTGGCATCCAACAACTGTGATTCTATGTATTTGAACTGATTCTGTTGTAAAAGTGAATTTCATGCAGCAAACCACTTGAAACGCTTAAAACAGGCCAGAAACATCATGAATTGCATACTGGCATCCAACAACTGTGATTCTATGTATTTGAACTGATTCTGTTGTAAAAGTGAATTTCATGCAGCAAACCACTTGAAACGCTTAAAACAGGCCAGAAACATCATGAATTGCATACTGGCAGCCAACAACTGTGATTCTATGTATTTGAACTGATTCTGTTGTAAAAGTGAATTCATGCAGCAAACCACTTGAAACGCTTAAAACAGGCCAGAAACATCATGAATTGCATACTGGCAGCCAACAACTGTGATTCTATGTATTTGAACCGATTCTGTTGTAAAAGTGAATTTCATGCAGCAAACCACTTGAAACGCTTAAAACAGCCAGAAACATCATGAATTGCATACTGGCATCCAACAACTGTGATTCTATGTATTTGAACTGATTCTGTTGTAAAAGTGAATTTCATGCAGCAAACCACTTGAAACGCTTAAAACAGGCCAGAAACATCATGAATTGCATACTGGCAGCCAACAACTGTGATTCTATGTATTTGAACTGATTCTGTTGTAAAAGTGAATTTCATGCAGCAAACCACTTGAAACGCTTAACAACAGGCCAAAACATCATGAATTGCATACTGGCATCCAACAACTGTGATTCTATGTATTTGAACTGATTCTGTTGTAAAAGTGAATTTCATGCAGCAAACCACTTGAAACGCTTAAAACAGGCCAGAAACATCATGAATTGCATACTGGGCATCCAACAACTGTGATTCTATGTATTTGAACTGATTCTGTTGTAAAAGTGAATTTCATGCAGCAAACCATTTGAAACGCTTAAAACAGGCCAGAAACATCATGAATTGCATACTGGCATCCAACAACTGTGATTCTATGTATTTGAACTGATTCTGTTGTAAAAGTGAATTTCATGCAGCAAACCACTTGAAACGCTTAAAACAGGCCAGAAACATCATGAATTGCATACTGGCATCCAACAACTGTGATTCTATGTATTTGAACTGATTCTGTTGTAAAAGTGAATTTCATGCAGCAAACCACTTGAAACGCTTAAAACAGGCCAGAAACATCATGAATTGCATACTGGCACCAACAACTGTGATTCTATGTATTTGAACTGATTCTGTTGTAAAAGTGAATTTCATGCAGCAAACCACTTGAAACGCTTAAAACAGGCCAGAAACATCATGAATTGCATACTGGCATCCAACAACTGTGATTCTATGTATTTGAACTGATTCTGTTGTAAAAGTGAATTTCATGCAGCAAACCACTTGAAACGCTTAAAACAGGCCAGAAACATCATGAATTGCATACTGGCAGCCAACAACTGTGATTCTATGTATTTGAACTGATTCTGTTGTAAAAGTGAAATTTCATGCAGCAAACCACTTGGGGGTGGGGGGGAGGGGGGTTTGATTAAAAGTGAGGGGTGGTGGGGGGGGGGAATGGTTTGATTGGGGGGGTGGGAATGGGGGTCAGGGGGTGGGAGGGGGGGGGGGGGTGGGGGGAGAGGGGGGCGCTGCGGGTGAGGTGATGAGAGTGCGTGTGCATGAGGTGAGGAGGAAACGATGATGAGAGTGTGACGGGGGGGGCGGCAATAACCATCTATGATTTGCGCGCGGATCCTCTATATATGGAATTGTCGTTAGAGGGTGGCGCGAGGGGGCGCGGGCTGTGATTCTAGTATTTGTAACTGATTCTTCAGGTTGTAAAAGTGAAAGTTTCCTGGGCCAGCACAACCACTTGAAAACGCTTAAAACAGTCCAGAAACATCATGAATTGCATACTGGCAGCCACCAACTGTGATTCTATGTATTGAGAACTGATTCTGGTTGTAAAAGTGATTTCCATGCAGCAAACCACTTGAACCGCTGAAAACAGCCAGAAACCGTGTCATGAATTGCATACTGCCAAGCCAACAACCTGTGATTCTATGTATTTGAACTGATTTCTGTTGGAAAAGTGATTTCAAGGGCAGCAAACCACTTAAACGACGAACGCGGGAACAGGCCATAAACATCATGAATGGCATACTTGTATAGGCAGCCACGGGGCAACTGTGATTTCATGTATTTGGGACTGATTCCTGTTTGAAAAGTGAAATCTCATGCAGCAAACCACTATGAAACGCTAAAACAGGCCAAAAACATCATGACAATTGCATACTGGCAGGCCACCGACTGTGATTCTATGTATTTGAACTGATTCTGTGTAAAAGTTGAATTTCATGCAGCAGCACCACTTGAAAACGCTTAAAACAGGCCCAGAAACACTATGCATTGCATACTGGCAGCCAAACAAACCAGTGATTCTATGTATTTTGAACTGATTCATGTTGTAAACGTGAAATTCCATGCAAGCAACCCCGGCGGCGATGAAACGCTAGGGGGGGTCTTACCGACTCTTCGGGTTGTAGACAAATCCATAGCGAGAATGAGTCTATGGGGGAAAAGTGTGGATTGAGTCAAGGTCAGTCTGCCATTGAGGGACCAAGGTGGTGCAACTGTGAATAATGTATTTGAACTGATTCTGTTGTAAAAGTGAATTTCATGCAGGCAAGGCCACTGGAAACGCTTAAGACAGGCCAGAAACATCATGAATTGCTACTGGCAGCCAACAAATCTGTGATTTTCTAGTATTGAACGATTCTGATGTAAAAAAGTGAAGATCATGCAGCAAAACCACATGAAACGCTAAAAACAGGCCAGAAACATCATGAAATGCATACTGTGCAGCCAACACCTGTGAGTACTATTGTATTTGAACTGATTCTGTTGTTAAAAGTGAATTTCATTACAGCAAACCACTTAAACTCGTTAAACAAGCCAAAAACCTCATGAAATGCATACTGGGCAGCCACACAGTGATACTATGTATTTGAACTGATTCTGTTGTCAAAGTGAATTTCATGCAGCAAACCACATTGAAAACGCTTAAAACAGCAAAAATCATGAATTGCATACTGGCAGCCAAACACTGGGATTCTAATGTCTTGGAACTATTCTGTGTAAAAGTGAATTTCCATGCAGCAAACCACTTGAAAACGCTTAAAACATCCAGAAACATCAATGATGCATCCTGGCACCAACACTTGATTCTATGTAATTTGAACTGATTCCGTTGTAAAAGTTAATTCCATGCACAAACCACTTGAACGCTTAAAACAGGCCGAAACATCATGAATTGCATACTGCCAGCCAACAACTGTGAATCTATGTAAATTAACTGATATTTCCCCCCTGTTTGTAAAAGTGAATGTCATGCAGCAAACCACTTGAAACGCATAAAACAGGCCCGAAAACATCCATCGAATTGCATACTGGCAGCCAACAACTGTGATTTTTATGAATTTTGGAAACTGATTCTGTTTGTAAAAGGTGAATTTTCAGCAGCAAACCACTTGGAAACGCTTAAACAGGCCAGAAACAATCAAGAATTGGCATACATTGGGCAAGCCAACAACTAGTTGGGTATTTCACTGTATTTGAACTGATTCGGTTAATTAAAAAGTGAATTTCATGCAGCAAACCACTCGAAAAAAAAACAGCTTAAAACAGGCCAGAACAAAAATCATTAATTGCATACTGGCAGCCAACAACTGTGATTCTAATGTATTTTAACGATTCTGTTGTAAACGTTAATTCATGCAGCAAACCACTTGAAACGCTTAAACAGCAGCCCAAAAACACATAATTGCATACAGTTCAAGCCAACAACTGTGATTCTAATGTGTATTTGAACTGATTCTGTTGGTAAAAGTGAATTTCATGCAGCAAACCACTTGAACCGCTTAAAAATGCCCAGAAACACTATGAATTGCATACATGGTCAGCCCACAACTGTGATTTCATGTAATTTGCGAACTGATTCTGTAGAAAAAGTGAATATCATGCAGCAAAACCACTTGAAACGCTTAAAACAAGCCATAAACATCAAGAATTGCCTACAGGGCAAGCCAACACCTGTGATCATGTATTTGAACTGATTCTGTTTGTAAAAGTGAATTTCCATGCAAGCACACCACTTGAAAACTCTTAAAACAGGCCAGAAACATCAAAATTGCATACTGGTCAGCCCAACAACAGTGATTCTATTATTTTGAACATGATTCTTTTGTAAAAGTGAATTCCATGTGCAGCAAACCACGTGAAACACTTCAAAACAGGCCAGACACATCATGAATTGGCATACGCCAGCCAACAACGTGTGTTTCTATGTATTTGAACTGATTCTGGTTGTAAAAGTAGAATTTACATGCAGCAAACCACTATGAAACCTTAAAACAGGCCAAAACATCTGAAATGCCTACTGTCACCAAACACCTGTGATTTTTATGTATTTGAACTGATTCTGTTAGTAAAAGTTGAATTTCCAAGCAGCAAACCACTTGAAACGCAAAAACCGGCCCGAAACATCATGAAATTGCATACTGGTCAGCCAACAATCTGTGATTCTATGTATTTGAACTGATTCGTGTAAAAGTGGAATTATCCGCAGCAAACCACTTGACACGCTTACAAAAACAGGCCAAAAAACATCAAGACTGCATACTGGCCGCCAATCGACGTGATTCTATGATTTGAACTGATTCAGTTGTAACATTGAATTTCATGCAGCAAACCAATTGAAACCTTAAAACAGTCCAAACCATACATGATTTGCAAACTGGCAGCCACCGCTGTGGAATCTATGTATTTGAACTGATTCTGTTGTTAAAATGTGAAATTCATTGCAGTCAAACCAACCTTGAAACGCTTAAAACAGGCCAGGAAACATCATGAATTGGCATGACTGGCAGCCAACAACAGTGGATTCTATGTATTTGAACTGATACTGTTGTAAAAGTGGAATTCCATGCAGCAACCCACTTGAAACGCATAAAAACAGGCCAGAAACATCATGAGATCTGCAATACGGCCCACCAACAACTGGTGATTCTATAGTATTTGGAACTGATTCTGTTTAAAAGTGAATTTTTCATCATCCACCACTATGAAAACGCTTAAAACAGGCCAGAAACATCATGAATCGCATACAGGCATGCCAACAACTGAGAATTTATGGCATTTGAACTGAATCTGTTGTAAAAGTGAAGTTCATGCAGCACCACTTGAAAGCTTAAAAAAAACAGGCCAGAAACATCAAGAAATGCATACTGGTCAGCCAACTACCTTTATTCAATTATATTGAACATGAATTTCAGTTGTAAAATTGTAATAAATCATGCAGCAAACCCCACTTAAACGCTGTAACCAGGCCCAGAAAAATCATGAAGTTGCATACTGGCGCCAACAACGTGATTCTATGAATATGAACTTAAATTCTTGTTGTAAAAAAGTGAATTCATGCAGCAAACCACTTGGAAACGCTTAAAATCCAGGCCAGAAACATCATGAATTGCATACTGGCAAGTGCCAAACAACTTTATTCAATGTATTTGAACTGAGGATTCCCTGTTGTAAAAGTGAATTTCATGCAGCAACAAACCCACTTGAAACCGCCTTTTTAAAACAGGCCCATGAAACACAAATGAATTGCATACTTGCAGCCAACAACTGTGATATCTAATGTATTTGAACTGTATTCTGTTGTAAAAGTGAATTTCATGCAGCAAACCACATGAAAACGCTTAACAAACAGGCCAGAAACATCATGAAGCTTGCGAATACTGGCAAGCCGAACACCATGTGATTCTAAGTATTGAAACAGAATCTGTTGTAAAAGAGAATTTCATGCCGCAAACCACTGAAACGCTTAAAACATGCCAGAAGACATCATGACAGTTCGTTGATCTCAAGAGTGTGTGTCTGTGACCTCGGAGGGTGGGGGGTCGGCGTGCGGGTGTGCCACAACGGAGTGAGACGGAGACGTGATTGTGGGGATACTACTATACATATTGACAGGGGCGGGTGTCGGTCTGGTTCGAGGGATCAGTGGGTGATTTTGTGAATCTGGTGTTCTGGATGGTTGAATATCACACAGAGGGTCATGGCACAAACCACTTTGAAACCCGCTTAAAAACCGGCCAAAAACATCAAGAATTGCATACGGCAGCCCAAGGACGACACTGTGAATGGAATTGAGTGGGGGGAGCTGCCTAGTAGGTAGAGTGTGGGGGGCGGAGGAGTGTTGGGAGTGGGATGTCAGACTGATTCTGTTTTGTAAAAGTGAATTTCCATGCGCCAACCCAAATGAAACGCTTAAAACAGCCAGAAACAACACGACGTTATGCTTGTCAGAGGGTATGGCATACTGGCACCAACAACTGGTGATTCTATGTATTTGAACGTGTGCTGATGGGTTGGAGGGGTGGGGGGAGTGGGGGGGGGTGGGGGGGGGGGGGGGGTGCATGGGGGTGGTGGGGGGGTTTTGGGTTGAGGGGTGGGGGGGGGGGGGGGGGGGGGTGTGTGGATAGAGGGAGGACGTTGGGGTGATTGGTGGGGGGGGGGGTGGGGTGGGGGGGTGGGGACGGGCAGGGGTGGGGGGGGGTAGGATGGGGATAGGGGAAGGGAGGGGGGGGTGGGGGGGGGGGGGGGGGGGGGGGGCATATGGGGGGGGGGGGGGGGTGGTGTAGAGAGGGAGGGGGGGGGTGGGGGAGGGCTGGAGGGGGGGCGTGGGGGGGGTGGGGGGGGGGGGGTGTGGTAGTGTGGGGAGAGGCTGGGGGGAGAGGGCGGAGGGGGGGGGGGGGGGGGATGGGAGTGGGTTTATAGTAGGTTGGTATTGGGGGGGGGATGTAGTGGGGGGGGTGGGGGAGGGGATGGGGGGGTGGGGGGGAGATTATAGGAAGAGTGGATGGCGGTGTAGGGTTTTGGGTATGTGTTGGGGTGGTAGGTGTGGGGTATCTATGGGGGGGGGGGGTGGGGGGGTATGGGGGGGGGTGGGGGGGGGTGGTGGTTGGGGGGGGGGGGGGGGGGGGGGGGGGGGGGGGGGGGGGGGGGATTTGGGATGGAAGGATTTAATAGGTTTAAGGTTTTTATATGGAATGATAATTATGGTTGTATGTATGATGAATTATAAATGGGTGGATTTGGGTGGGGGGTGGTATATATGATGTATGGTTGGGTAAAGTGGTTTTGATTGAAGATAATAATATTGGAATCGCTTATAAACAGGACAGAAAATTATGAATTGCAAAGTACGCAACTACATAATGTGGAGTCCTATGTAATTTGGAACGATTCTGTTGTAAAGGAATTCCCATGCGCAAAAACCACATGAAAACTGCTTAAAAACAGGCCAAAACATCATGGAATTGGGGCATACTGCAGCCACAACTGTGATTCTATGTATTGGAACTGATTCTGTTGTAAAAAGGTGAATTTCATGCAGCAACACGTGAAACGCTTCAAAACAGCCTGAAACAGCAGAATCATGAATGCCTACTGGCAGCCAACAACTGGTGATTTTATGTATTGTCACTCAGGCTGGTTTACACGTTCGGAGTGGCGGGTGAAGATGTAAAAGTGAATTAGTCCATGCAGCAAAGTCCCGCAGAGTGAAACGCTTAAAACAGGCCAAAACATCATGACTGTGCATACTAGGCAGCCAACAACTGTGATCTAATGTATTGTTGGCGGAAGGGATGGTTGACAAAATCTGCATATTGAATAACCCAATGGGTGGGTTTGAGCTTTCTAGTGAGGGGTGACGGCGTGGGGGGGTTCTGGGCATGGGGGGGGGTGCGGGGGGAGGGGGGGGGGGGGGTTGTGTGGGGGGGGGGGGGGGCGGGGGGGAGGGGGGGGGATTTTGCGTAAAAGGTATCGCTAAATCAGGGGGTGTGAGGGGTGCCGAGGAGGAGGTGAGTGGACTGATGCAGGAATTTGGCGATACTGGCAAGCCAACAGAGCGGGTGTGATTCTATGATTGTCAACCTGATTCCTGTAGTGTTGTGTGGGGAGCTGACAGTGAGTGCACTATGGGGTGCGCGAGTTGTATTACTTCGGATGCAGCAAACCACTGAAACGCTTAAAACAGGCCGAAAAATCAAAGAATTGCATACCTGGTAACAAAGCAACAACTGATTCTATGATTGAACTCTATGGGTACGTGTGTTGTAAAAGGTGAACTGAGCTCGCTCTATGTTTGTAAAAGTGATGAATTCAGGCAGCAAACCACCTGTGATTCTATTTAATTAAACGATTCTGTTGTAAAAGTGAATTTCATGCAGCAAACAGGCTTAAAACATGCCCAGAAACATCATGAAATTGCATACTGAGCGCATCCAACAACTGTGATTCTATGTATTTGAACTGAATCTGTTGTAAAAAGTGAATTTCATGCAGCAAACCACTTGAAACGCATAAAACAGGCCTGAAACATCATGAATTGCATACTGGCAGCCAACAACTGTGATTCTATGTATTTGTAACTTGATTCTGTATTGTAAAAGTGAATTTCATGCAGCAAACCACTTGAAACGCTTAAAACAGGCCAGAAACATCATTGGAATTGCATACTGGCAGCCAACAACTGTGATTCTATGTATTTGAACTGATTCTGTTGAAAAAAGTGAATTTCATGCAGCAAACCACTTGAAACGCCTTAAAACAGGCCCGAAACATCATGAATGCATACTGGCCGCCAACAACAGTGATTACTAATGTATTTGAACTGATTCAGTTGGTAAAAGTGAAATTTCATGCATCAAACCACTTGAAACGCGTTAAAACAGGGCCAGAAACATCATGAATTGCATACTGGCATCCAACACCTGTGATTACTATGTATTTTTGGAACTGATTATCTGTTGTAATCAGTGAATTTCATGCAGCAAACCACTTGAACGCTTAAACAGGCCAAAACATCATGAATTGCATACTAGGCAGCCATCGACTGTGAATCTATGTATTTGAACTGATTCTGATGTAAAAGTGAAAATCATGCAGGCAAACCACTTGTAAACGCTTTCTTGGGGGGGGGGGGGTTCTTCTGCAGATTTCTTGTCGTCTTATTTTTGCTGGAGGGGCCCGAGAAACCACTGGGTGAGAGGACGGTGGTGGGTGGGGGGGGGGGTGTGTGGGTTGATGTCGGGGAGGGGGGGGGGGGTGTATAGAAGAAGTGCAGTCGGTTCGTGGGGGGGGGGGGGGGGGTTGTGGTGTGTAGTCGTGAGTCTATAGCTGCTGTTGTTGCTTGTGGTTTGTGTGGTGATATTTCTTATTGTTCTGGGGGGGATGTTGTTGAATTATAAGTACATACATGAGCTACTGACGATCGTGTATGAGATTGGTAGGTGGGCTGCGGAGCAATCAAGGGACATGCTCATCGGTCGTTGTAAAAGGTGAATGTGCATGCTATGGCAAACCACGGGGATTGGGGTGTGCTTCGAGTGCGTGCGTGTTTAACCGGCAGGGGGGGAGAGGGGGGGGGGGGGAATGGGGGGGGGGGGGGTGGGGGGGGGGGGGGGGGTGGGGGGGGGGGGGGTGGGGGGGGGGGGGGGGGGGATAGGGGGGTGGGGGGGGGTAATAATGGGGGTGGGGGGGGGGGGGGGAGGGGTGGGGTTTGTGTGGGGGGAGTTACAGGGGGGGGGAGGGAGAGGGATTGTCAGGGGGGGGGGGGGGGGGGGGGGGGGGGGAGAAGGGGTCTGGTTTAGTATCCCATATTGTGGGTAGGACTGTGAACTGTTTATGTTGGTAAATAATGGGGAACGTGACGATACACACACACTAAGAGAGTCGATGCATATACTCGTGCAAACGCTTAAAAACAGGCCAGAAAAATCAATGATTGCAGTTCTGGCCGGGGGGATCCTCTCTCTTGAGAAGGATCATCTGTATCGGGGGAGTGAGTCTATGGTATTGTGAACTGGGATTCGTACAGCAGATGGGGTAAAAGTGTAGGGGTTTCATGCAGCAAACCACTGATGGAGTGTACTACTAGAGGCGAGTGTAAAACAGGCCAGAAAACATCATTAATTGCATCTACTGGGCAGGCAACTGGACTGTGTTTTAATGGTAGTTTGATCTAGGTCCCATAAGTGAGAGTGGGCGTGTTGGTAATTGGTGAATTCATGGGTGGTGGGGGGGCTCGTTGGGGCGTAGACATACACATAGCGGGAGGCTTGAAGGGTACTGGGCGCTTAACTCAGGCCAGAAACATCATGAATGCTTTCTGCAGCCAATCAACTGTGAAGACTATGATAATGGAACGATCCGGTGAGATATGAGATGGAGGAAGTGAATTTCAATATGCAGCAAACCACTTGAAACGGCTTAAAACATGGACAGAAAAAGCGATGAATTGCATAATGGCACCAACGTACTGTGTATTGACTTGACGGGTGGATTGGAAACTGATTCTGTTTGTAAAAATGAATTTTCATGCAGCATACCACATGAAACGCTTAAAACTGGCCAGAAACATCATGAAATTGCAATACTGGCAGCCTACACCTGGGGATTCTATGATATTTGGAACGGATTCTGTTTGTTAAATCGTATATAATGAGGAGTTCCAGAGGGGGGAGGGGCAGGGATATAGAGTCTGGGAGACGGGCGCAGCTTGAAACGCTTAAGGGCGGCGGCGATGGGGCCAAAACATCATGAATTGCATACAGGCCAGCCAACAACGTGATTCATGATTGAACTGATTCCTGTATGGTAAAAGAGAGATGGAATTCATGGCAAGCAAACCACATGAAACGCATAAAACAGGCCAAAAACATCATGAATTGCATACTGCCAGCCAACAACTGTGATTCTATGTTTTGTGGATGATCCTTGTTGTAAAAGTGAATTTCATGCAGCAAACCACGTGGAAACGGCTTAAAAAAACAGGCCAGACACATCATATCTCTCGCAACAACAACAACGGAGTGGGAGGAAAAGAGAAGATATTTATGGTTTTCTGGCCTGTTTTTTAAGCCGTATCAAGGTGGGGTTCTGCATAAATCACTTTTGAACCATTGAAAAACTTGTAATAGACCTCCCACCTATTCTGATTTGTTGCTAGTACGCCCTCCCAACCGCTCATCACTATCAGACAAACACACGTGTCGTTAACAGGGAGGACCTGTAGATTAATTAGTTTATTGACCTAACTGCTTGTTTTAGAATACACCGTGATCATAAATCACTTTAGACAACTGTGAAACATTATCACACACACACAGGCCAACAGAAGCTAACTCATTGAAACTCTTTGAAAAACAATGTGCAGTAACACCTTTCACCACTTGCTCAAGAGCGCCGTCTCTTTTCTGGGGATTTTAGGGTGCAGTACCACCTTTTCACCACTTGCTCTCTACCGCCGTCTATACTATCTACTGTGATGTGTGTGGGCAGGCTGGTTACCGGTAAAGGGCTGATAAACAGTCCAGTTAAAAGTGACAGTAATCCTTTTTGATGCAGGCTGTTAAAATCCGCTTACTCCGTCGAGCAGGGCAAATAAAACCAGTAAAAGAAACTTAGTTTAAAAATAAATCATAAAAAACGTGCAGCTCAAAAAAGGCTCCAAACAAATGCGTCCGCCATCTTGCGCATGCGGGGAAGTTATATTATTGTGTGTATATATTGTGTGTATATATTGTGTGTGTATATTGTGTGTATATATTGTGTATATATTGTGTGTGTACATTGTGTATATGCTGTGTGTATATATTGTGTGTACATTGTGTGTATAAAATGTGTGTGTATATTGTGTGTATATATTGTGTATATATTGTGTGTACATTGTGTATATGCTGTGTGTATATATTGTGCGTATATATTGTGTGTACATTGTGTGTATACATGTGTGTTGCTCACCTTGCTAAACGCCAGACAGTCCTTATCTTGATCCTTGTCTTTAACCTCAAAGTCGTAGAGCGCCTTCCCCTGGGGCGGCGTCTGGCTCAGGGGCCGCAGAAGCTGGATGTAACTCGCCGGCAGGAACCCGTGACAGCCGTTCAGCTCGCCGTGGTACCAGTTATTGTCCACTTTGCGTCGCAGGATGATGATGTCACCTTTGGAGAACTGCAGGTCGCCCGGTTCTTTGCCTTCGTAGGAATACAGCGCTTTACCGCACGGCAGAGCTGGGATGTTCTGCACACACCAGAAAACAACACAGCACTTAAGTTCCGTGTTTTCTTTTCAAAAGACTTTACACACTTTGAAGAATACACCTTGTTTGTCTTTTCCAATTCACTTAAGAGTCAAACGCTCTATTCAACTGTACTTTAGTGTTTAAAGTCATTTCCACATGTTTTTTCTATAAAGTGAAAAAGCCATACAATGATTTTCAGAATACAGCAGCCATATGCCTCAAGTAAGATTATTTAGTGCTTATTTGAGGCTGCAGATAAGAGCCAGTCAACAAATACATTTACATAAAAGCCAACCCTAAAGCATTTTACCTTTCTGACTATAAACATGGAGCAGAAAGACACTGGCTTTGTCCTCCGTTAACATCACAGTCTGACCAAACGCAACACATGCATTAGACACAGATGGGGAGGCAGCTTTTCAGATTCATGCTGCTAGAATCTGGAATAATCTCCCTGAAGATGTGAGACAGGCCTGCTCAATGACAATGTTTAAAACCAGGTTAAAAACAGTTCTGTTTAGCTGTGCATACAACTGAGGGATTTTATATTTGTATCTTTCTTTTTAATGTTCTGTGATTGTTTATGATTTTAATGCTTTCTTGTTTTGTTCAACACTTTGAGTTGCCTTGCGTATGAATTGTGCTATACAAATAAACTTGCCTTGCCATAGTAGTCAATAATGAGTGGTGCGGAGAGCGGAGGAAGAAGGATATATATTCATAGAAGGACAGCAGAAGTGTCTGTTTAAAGTTCAGGATAATAACCCCATTGCAGTCCCAAAAATCCTGGGTGATGCTAATATGTTTAAAATCAGATAAGATAAGAAAGACTTCATTGATCCAACACTGGAGAAATGTACACACCACATTTGGCACAGACAGAAACACTCAGATTGTGCAAAAGGCAGAAGTGTGAAATCGACATCATTGGTCAATACGGGCGGACGAAGAGGTTTCTGTAACTCCTGTCAGGAAGTACAAGTACACACTTTACTTTACTATTTACTATACAATACAAGGAGCTAATACAAATGTTAAAGGGTAGGAGAAAAACATAGTCTGCAATGCCAGCCTGATCATTCTAAATATTCTGTATTATTAACAGGTGTTAAACAAAAAGAATCATATTGATTTTAATTTATTTTCGTGTATTATCAATAATAAATTAGACACTTTATAAATGGGTTTATTAAAAGTGCTAAAGAATAAATGGATATGAGCAGCTTAAACTGTACAAACAATTCATTAATCACTTGGACGATTGTTTTTTTTTTAATTAAATGTTTTTGAGATCCAGAAAGACAAATATGATTTTTTTCAAATACATTTTACCAAAACAAAGCTCATGTGATGACCCTGGAGAACATCTTCACAGAGGTGACATGTTGTACATTAAGTTTTTGAATTAAAAATACTTAACATTGTAACAACACCTGGTGCACACTGGGGAAGTCTTGCACAGTTTTTCCAATGTGGTTTTACTGCAGATGGCAAATAAATGAATCTGAATCTGTAAACATTTAATTATGCAGTGATTATAGTTATGAGTTAAAAAACATCTTTAAGTCTATGTAACGTTTAAAAGCGGTTAATCTATAACTCAATTATTTGACAATTATTTGAATAAACAATTAGTTGTGATGAATCAATGAAGCTTTAACACATTATAACCAACAAAACTGTAGATTTCGCAAATGAATTTATTTTCTTGTCAAATCTTTCATTCCATTATTTTGCACCTCATTTTACTGTCAGCGACTTCCAAATAAAAAGTTGAGATTCCAATACGTACAAAGAGGAGCCCTGAGGATATACTGTGTTCTTTCATCCCCTGGGCTGTGTGTGAGATATGGCTTGTTATTAAAATGTTGCCAGATAATTGCCGTTTCCGCCTTGGGCCGAATGGAGTAATTTATAAAATGTCATTTCAGAGCGGCGCACGGCTCTCTGGAGTTACATCAAGACGCAGAAGAATCAAAGGTTCAGCGAGAGCCCACAGTGTCACAGCAAAACCACTGAAAGCTCTTAAAATATCAAATAAAAAGCACTGACAAACTTTTTGGATGGATCAAAGCAGCAGCGTGTTCAATACAACTCCAAATGTGCTAAAACGCAGCAAACAAAAAACACATTTCCCGTTATCAATGTTTTGGAGAAAAACAAGGCCACGGAGAGAAGGATCCCTCTCGGTTCATACATTTTCTGAAACACACTATTCGGGTCTGACCAAATGCACCAATGTCCACCAACTCCAGTAAACATGTCTGAAATGAAAACAGACTCATGCATAGTCGCTTTCTAGACAAAAAGGGTCTTTGGACATCATGGCAAGGCAAGTTTATCTGTATAGCACAATTCATACACAAGGCAACTCAAAGTGCTGAACAAGACAAGACATTAAAATAATAACTAATCACAGTATATTCAAAAAAAATAAATACAAATATATATAATATCCCTCTGTTGTATGCACAGCTAAACAGAACTGTTTTCAACCTGGACGTAAACACTGTCAGAGAAAAGGCCTGTCTTACATTTTCAGGAAGATTGTTTCAGATTTTAGCAGCATGAATCTGAAATGCAGCCTCCCCATGTTTAGTTCTGACTCTGGGACCAGCAGGAGTCCAGTCCCTGTCCTCCTCAGAGTCCTAGCTGTAGACCAGTCCCTGTGCTCCTCCGAGTTCCAGCAGGAGTCCAGTCCCTGTGCTCCTCAGAGTTTCAGCAGGAGTCCAGTCCCTGTGCTCCTCAGAGTTCCAGCAGGAGTCCAGTCCTTGTGCTCCTCAGAGTCCCAGCAGGAGTCCAGTCCCTGTGCTCCTCAGAGTCGCAGCAAGAGTACAGTCTCTGTGCTCCTCTAAGTTACAGCAGGAGTCCAGTCCCTGTGCTCCTCAGAGTCCCAGCAGGAGTCCAGTCCCTGTCCTCCTCAGAGTCCTAGCTGTAGACCAGTCCCTGTGCTCCTCCGAGTTCCAGCAGGAGTCCAGTCCCTGTCCTCCTCAGAGTCCTAGCTGTAGACCAGTCCCTGTGCTCCTCCGAGTTACAGCAGGAGTCCAGTCCCTGTGCTCCTCAGAGTCCTAGCTGTAGACCAGTCCCTGTGCTCCTCCGAGTTCCAGCAGGAGTCCAGTCCCTGTCCTCCTCAGAGTCCTAGCTGTAGACCAGTCCCTGTGCTCCTCCGAGTTACAGCAGGAGTCCAGTCCCTGTGCTCCTCAGAGTCCTAGCTGTAGACCAGTCCCTGTGCTCCTCCGAGTTCCAGCAGGAGTCCAGTCCCTGTGCTCCTCAGAGTCCCAGCAGGAGTCCAGTCCCTGTGCTCCTCAGAGTTCCAGCAAGAGTCCAGTCCCTGTGCTCCTCCGAGTCCCAGCAGGAGTCCAGTCCCTGTGCTCCTCAGAGTCCCAGCAGGAGTCCAGTCCCTGTGCTCCTCCGAGTCCCAGCAGGAGTCCAGTCCCTGTGCTCCTCCGAGTCCATAGTCGGTTCATATGGGACTAACATGTCACTAATGTATTTCGGGCCGAGGCCGTGGAGAGACTTGTAACAAACTGTATTAAATCCTTGTTTCTGATCCACAGAGAGACAGAGCAGAGAACTATAGACTTCTTGTTGTGACAAAAGCCATCGCAAAAGCCTTGACTGTCGACTTCACAATTGTCGTCTATCCACCCTCATTGTTAGTCATGCAACGACTGACAGCATTCAGAAAAACCTGCACACTTTCCCAAACCAACATTGTCGTCTCTGTCTTTCAATAAACAAATCCTGCATGACAAGGATTTAGTCACAACAAACAAACAATATATAAATAAAACACAGCGTCAGCAAGAAAAACAGATGGGAACAGCTTCCTTTTCTTCTTACAGTTTATAATCTGAGAAATGTTGCGTTGACACAAGTTTGCGCAAAGTTTTTATTTCCTCACAAAAGGTATGAATCTCCCCAGACGCTTCACGGAGCCGAGCCGCCCCAGGCCCTAACCTCAGCCATGATGCAACGTGACGAAAGGCACCAAAATATACAGTTCCTCTGATAGAGCGTGTACTGCTTTTACTATCAGTCACTGGAAAACAGGTGCAACCAAAAAGCAGTGTTACACAAAGAGTCATTCACAGGGCAGTCCATATTTGACGTTAATAATTATCGGAGCAAACGTCTGGAAGATATTATCTGCGTTTGCTATTCAGAATTTTCCTTGTATTTATTTCTGTTTTTTTTTTTTTTGACGTATTTCTCTCCTCCTCTGTAAAGCCTGTTGGATTGCCGTCTGAACAAATTATGCCTGAGAAGTGAATTGGCATTGACACTACCTTGATCCTTTATGACCTAATTTGTTTTTCTCATTTTCAGACAACATTGTTTTATTTCAGAGGTGTCCAAACTTTACAGTAAGAGGGCCCCTTTAGTAAACCAGGCTTGTCCAGGGGCTCACATCCCGGACTGTTTTTGACTGGATTCAAGCTGCTCTGAAAATAAATAATTATACATAATATAAAGTCAACAGTTTTTCAACTTAAAATATGAAACCAATTTGACTAATTACATGAGAAGTGTCATTTGTCAAACCTTTAATGGATATAATTTGGAGGATTATGGCTTAGTGTCCATTTTCTGAGATGTTTTATTAAAAGCTGAGTCATATCAACCTCATAATAACTATATGCTTGATTCCTCACTGTGCGTGTAGTGAGTCATAGTTTCATAAGTTAAAGTAGAAGTACATGGACTTTTGAACCACATTATAATTGTAGGTGTTGCCAACACAGTGAATGTGAATTGTGTTTGATAAAGGAGAAAAAAATAGACAAAGTGAAGTGAAGTAGAACGGGACCTGTTAAGAGAAGCTTTTTTGTTCTATCCATAGAAAAAACAAGGTCAATTCTCTTCAGAGGAAAAGCAGATCAAAACAATCACATTAATCATCTGTACTTTCCTTTTTGCAGAATGCTTTGTGTCCCAGACAGAAACTGTTTGTGCTGTACATGAAGTCGTGCACTGGAAGGTTGAGTTTTGCAGACAAAATGAAAACCAACCTCAGGCGCTGCTGGTTAAAAACATTTGATAAAATTACACCTGGATCTGTACTACTTTTGCAAATCACTAAATACACCATCCATCCATCTTCTTCCCCTTAATCCATTTCTGGGTCGGGGGGTGGCAGTCAGAGCTGCACCCAGTACACAGAGCACCAGCCCCTCACTGATCCTCCTGTGCCGAGTCCACAAGAGCCTTGATTATTTAGCAGGGGCTTCAGGCAAAGTGGGGTTAAGTGTCTTGCCCAAGGACACATTGACAGCAGTCATCAGTGGGACTAAATACACTATAAGGTTAAAATCAACCCTTATATTA